AGTGTGTGTGTTGCAAGAGGCTGTACTCACCGGTCGGTCATCGGGAACGTTCTTGAGTGCCGGTGGCGTGCGGTAACGAACCGCGAACAGGTTGCGGTTTGTCGCGCGGGTTGGTTGGGGGGAAGCGAAACCAGCGCATGGTCAAGCAAGGACGCGTGTTTTGTTTGTTTTCCAACGTAAGTGTTCTGTAATGGTTGTAACACGAATTTTTCAAAACGCCTGTGTAATGAATGTTATATAAAAATGCATGCGTGAAGCTTTATCCCGCGAATTAAACGAGGCGCTGTGATATTGCTTTGGTGTGTCCTCCATGTTTTGGTATGTTTTACTAAGGCTTTGACTTCTACCCTATGTTTTGCATTGATGGCGTTTACTAACGTAGCTCTTGACGGTTCATACTTTGGCTTTGGGGATGGAAGCGTCCCATGGTCTAAAGTGATGCACCGCCTCAAATTTAAACCAACGAGCTTCCCGACAGCAGGACCCGGTGCCGCCCACTGGGCCAAACACAAACGTTCTTTTATCCGGACCCAGTGGTTGTTATGACGAGGGTGATCGCGACAACTGCAGGTAAGAAGTCTAATGCTGGTACAAAGCGTTGGCAACGTAACTTGGACTCGAAAATAATTAAAATTGCTATCATTCTTATTGTGAGTTGACAGCGCTGCAGTAACACTACTCAGTGCTATTACTAGACGTAGCTGGTCCTAAAGTGTCACTAGAGTATCTTTTTTGGAAACATGCTTCAAAGGTGAAATAACATGGGCGACGCAAACTCGCCACCAATCGGCGGATAGCCGTGAAGCGTTCACTCCCGCACCCAATCTCGAAAACGACAGGTCGTGGCGACACGAAATTTGCACAGCAAAATTGGGAATCGGACGAGGAATCGATTTTTGTCAGGTTCGAGGTGTCGTGTGGCACGTGTCACGTCCACACGAGCTGAGATGATGAAACTGGCCGTTTTTGCGTTTTTGTACGTTTGGGGCCACTTCCTGGCACCCAGTGCAGGTAAAGGCGTGAATTCAATTTCATAGCCTTCACAAACGCACCGTCTACAAATTAACTACACATCACGAGTTGATGCAGAGCACGATTGCGACACAGACTGCTGGACAAATTGCGACTGCCAGGATTTTCAACAAAAAAACACTGCTGAATAGAGGAGGCTGCCGTCAAAGCTGTAAGCATTTTGACATAAGAAATCACGCCAACGTCTTC